AATGCGAAGAAATTCACCTAAGGAGAAATCTACAAGCTTTGCACCAACTGCAACAGCAGATCCACTAGAAGATCCTCCAGGTACTCTATCTGCAGCACAAGGATTAGTTGGTGTTCCGTAATGTTCATTTTCACCATTTATGCTGCCAAAAGAAACTGTATTTCAGCTATCCCTTTTTTTGGACTAACCTAAATCTTCAGTCCAACACAGAGCAATTAGTTTAGAAATGCATCTTAGTAGCATGGATCGTGGGGTCTGAAGTGGAAATTTCACCTTAATTCACTTCAATATTTGCATATTTTATTTGGTCATATATGTGTGTTTTTATCGACAAATTATCAACTAGTAATTAAGATAATGGCTTTTGGAAAGCTACTTAAATTTCTGCATGAAAACTATATTTGTGATGAAGGCATTCATGTAGCTTGAGTATTAAAACGGCAATGGACAGAGCTGCAACATAAATTTCATGTTTTATAGCATGGAACTCCAAGTATGGAGTAAACGTCCAAAAGGAAAATTCATATCTGAATGCAATCAATTATTGAAATCTTTCTGAAATCATTATAGTTGCAGACTTCAATTTACTTTCTCCTCATTTTTTTATTATTTTTTATCTGATTAGGAACTTGGGGATTTTGGCCCTTTCCAAAGTTTCAGTTTCTATGGATATTCTCTCCAATTGTCTTGGCCGAGTAGTGCCCGATTATATATTCATGATCTCTCGTCATCTGATATCAAAAATAGTTTCTGGACAGATGCATAATTAAATAACACATTAGCCATTAGAAGTTCAATGATACTTGGATTTGATTGAACAATTCATGACAATAAATGCAGACAAGTAATTAAGTAATATCCTGCCAACATTTGGAAATTCAACAGATTAAAAGTCGAGAATTATCTAATCTGACCTGTAAGCCATTTCATCCATTACAGTTTTTCCAACAAACGTGGCACCTGCCTTGAGCATATCCAAAACAGCCGGCGCAGTTGATACAGCAGCAGAATGCGTCCTCGCCCAGTCCGGATTCCCAAAACCAGTCACATACCCATCCACATCAAATCTGGGGAGAAAATTGTTAATTATTTTGAAATAAAAAAAGCACATATTATTAAAAGCTGTCGAAGAGACTGACATATCTTTGACAGCAAAGATGAGGCCAGTTAATGGAAGTTGTTGAGATGAAGAAGGAGGTTGCAGAGTGAATTTCTCCATGTAAGCTCCATAATCTGATGAATTCGTCGCCATTACAGAGGATTTGGCAGTTTCTGTGCTAGTAAATATCTTATCTAAAATAGAGGTCTGCAGAGTTCGTCCAAAATGTATACTTATAACTGTATGTTTGGCTAAGCTTAAAAAGTTTAAGTAAATTAAAAAATAAAAATAAATTACTTATTTTAATGGTAAGATTTAAAATGTAAAAGGAGGAAAAAGAAATTTTTATAGGCATGTCTAGATAGAGAAACTTTAGAAGTTTCCTCAAACATTCTCTTAAAATATTTTGATTAAAGTTGATTAATGATATTGATAAGTAGATAAAAATTATGGATTACATAGAATAGAATACATGATTAAATTAATTGTTGATTTTGGATATTAACTTTTTAACAATGTTTTTAGCCATTTTAAACAAACATATAATTTGTATTGATGTCCACAGTGCTGTAGAGCTAATACTAATTTTTTTAGAAAAATAAGACGAACTTTAAATAATATACCAGGCCTTCTTAAGATTTCTGAATGTCAAAATTTTCCCTTTCTATAAAATAAAAAAAATAACTTAGATATTCACGATAGAGATTTCAACTTTCACC